CCAATTTTTGACAAAAGTAAATTTGCTCCCATTTGCACAAAAATAGTCAGATTTGCACAAAATTTTAATCCATTGTTCAGCTCCAGGGTCTAGGTCATTTGAAAGTTGAAATATTGAAATTGACTCATTAGCGCCCCCTACAGACTATTTCAAAGTTTTACATGGGCCTAATAAAATTTAGTTTTGTCAAAATGTTTGAAATTTTGCACATAATTCTGTTTTGTCATCTGGATTCAAAAAGTCAATGACAACATATGATTATTTTTTACCCTGTTGCCGTGGCGACGACCAACACTCCCCTGTCTGTGTCTATGGCGAAATCGTTAAATCTCTGAAAAGTACACCTTGCTCAAAAATCAAACCAGCCACGGCCGTTTCACTAATTTGTCTGAAAATCGCTCCACATGGTCTCCACACATGGACCATCAATAGTTGCATATAGAGTTTTAATTAGTCAAACGGTCTGCGCGTGACAGACTCCCAAAGTGTGGTCATTTTCATAGAGAGGTGTGAAGGTCCCATGTTATATCCAAATGGAGACTGTGTGGACACACTCACAGATTATATGTGCAAAAATGTAATGTGTCTTCCCTTGTTTTCCGAACCAAGGCTGGAGCCAAGCCCAAATATAAACATGCAAAATCGTTAGTGATTGGCTCTTGCACGACCTCATTCAATGCTTTATGCAACGCCACCCCAGTATTGTTCTAACAGAGACACTCCCAGAAAATTATGAAAATGGTTTGCCCACAAGGAAACCGACATTTTCTCCGCACTCTGCTGTTTTGTTTTCTAATTTACCTTGATGCGGTATAGAAAGATATCTTGTGACATTTTCCAGCAGTGATATCTCCAGGCTCAAAGAAATGCAGCCAGCGAAAGTTCAATTTTGGTAGTCATCCAAAGTAACCCCTCCAGGCCCGGCTCTCATCCCCCACCTATCGCGCTGCAAACGCCCTTCCAAATCACCGCACCCGGCCAAGTCCAAGCCCGCCTTAAAAGCGGAGAAACTCCCACTCTCTTCCTTCTCGCAGCCTTGCATGAATCGTTCTGGAGGAATCGCTTTTGATCTTACTCACGTACTTACTCCTGCGGTCCCTGCTGTCCTCTGTCCTTGCTGCGGTGTGTCTGGCTCTTCCGCCGCGGTCCTGCTCCTGCTGCGGGTCTCGGGCTGTGGTCCGTGGGTCTATGCCGCTCACCTCCTATTACGGGCCTCTTCTGCGGGTGTCGGCCGCTGCTCGTTACTCGTCCGCGCCTGCTGCTGCATACGCCTCTGGCCCGGTGCGGTGGGGCTGTGCGCATCCCTGCCTCCTCTGGGGTACGTGCGTGGTCCCGTGTGTTGTCCCTTGTCTATCGGCTTGTGGGTAAGTATGAGATCTGCGACGGTTTTTCCCCTCCGGCATTGGTACTGCAGGCCTCATTGGCCCGTAGCATGGTGGGCAAGCTTCAGTTTAAAGCCCTCGCATTGTTCTGCAGCTCTTCATTTTAATTTTTTTTTTTTTTGTTTTTATCACTTAACCAAGCTACGTTAAATCCTTCACTCAGACTGCAAGCTCGTATTCCTCACATTAGACTGCAAAGACCTCAGTTTAATCCTACATTGGACTGCGCGCTCTCATTTTAATCCCTCACTTTGGGCCTGCAGGCTCTCTTAAATCCCTCTCTGGACTACGAGCTCTGTTTAAATCCCTCGCTTTGGACTGCAAGCGCTTTAAATCCCCTGGACTTGCGGCTCCCATATGAATCCCTCACTATGACTGCGAGCTCCCATGTTAATCCCTGCACGGAGCTGTTAATCTGAACTGCTTATATCTGGAGCTGTTTATACCGTACCCGGAAACAGGCGATTCATGCGGAACTGCTAGATTAATGAACTGCGTATATATGGAACTGCTATATATGAAACTGCTTATACTATGGAACTGCTATATAGAACTGCTATAAATGGACTGCATATATGGAACTGCTTTATATGGCACGGCTTGTTACACGGAACTGCTTTATGGAACCTGCTCATATTGGAACGGCATATATGGTACGCTTATACAGGAACGCTCATATATAAAAATATATAAAATATTAAATAAATATAAATAAATGTAAAGTGAAGAAAATAAATATATAAATAAAAAATAAAAAACGCAGGCACTGTTGGATCCCTCCCATCGTTAACCCTCACACCGACTGCAGCTCTCCGTTAAACGCTCACTTGGTCAGGCGGCTCAGTTTTAATACCTCACTTTTGGAACTCAAGCTCATTTAAATCTCTCACATTTAGACTGCAGGCTCTGTTAGGTCCCTCGGCGTCTCGTGTCCCGCAACCCTTCCCGGCTCGCCGTAGCCCCAATTGGCACGGCGGCGGAGTGTCCGTGGCTACGTCATTGCCCCGTCTCCTCCGTCTCGCCTCTACACCCGATGTGCCTTCGCCACCCGCAAGCACTCCAGGAAGAAGCGTCTCATACGCGGTCCTATCCTGTCCCCGCTCCGGTCCCGCCCGAGCACAACAGCCCCTTCCCTCCAGCGCCCTTCTCCCTGCAGTCCGCGACCGTGGACCACCCGATCAGGCTACTTTCGGCCCCGACTTTCGGCCCCGGCTCCTGGCTCTCCAAGGCCGTCATCCCGGGTCGCCTGTCAAGCTGCTGCCAGCAACCCCGACCTTGCGCTGTTCAGGGGTCAAGTGGCGTCGGGAGTTCTTCGCAGTGCGCCTCACCTTCACTGCGGAGTAGTCCCTCTCTTCAACAATCTCTCGGAGGCTGCCGTGTCGAATCTCTTAATTTTGCGCGGCTGCCGCCCCCGTCTCCAACTCCTCCTAGGATATTAACGTGAACCTGGCCCCCCATCATACTAAAAATTTTATAAAAAATATGTCAATCGTTTGTGCTACGTTTGTGCTGTTTTGTGCTGTAAATTTTTTTGTTTGTGCAGTTATCGTTTTTGAGATATTGAGGATTCTTTTATAGGTCAATCTGAGGTCACCCAGCCCCTCATTTTGCTAAAAAATGCTCCAAAATGGACGAAAATAGTGTCATTCATTTGTGCTAGGTTTGTGCTGGTTTGTGCTGTAAAAATTGATGTTTGTGCTGTTATCGTTTTTAAGATATTAATAATTGCATTTTTAGACGATGACGTCATCATACTCTTTCGAAAATGCGCAGAACTGACTGAGAATGGTGTCTATCCTTTTGGCTTCGTTTAGGCTGTGCATATATTTGGTGTATACAGTTATGTTAAACATTTTAAGAATTTGGGTATCTCTTTTTTATTTTTTTTATTTGGGTATCGCACACACCTGACAGTGACGTCATATCCGGACACTTTATTGCTGCGTGATTAATCATGGATAGAACCTCTCGACCACAGTCTATGCTCTCGACGCTCTTCAAACTTTTGGCAAGTAAATCTTCTTTTAATCGCCTTATTGGTGTAGTGTTTGACATATAAATGAGGATAACGTTGAATGTAGTATTTATGTGAATATCATTATTAACCAATTGTTAATTTCATAGATTTAAATGGCACAAGATGACATTTAATCTGCCATAGCCTGTACAATTATCCTTAACATTACTGGCACGGCTTTGTTCAATATATTCACAGCATATGCCTGTTTAAAAGTCACTTGTATTGCGATTTACACATGTTTCACGTGCTGAATGTGTGTTAAGGAGCTTAATTAGCTAAGCCAATTAACACACGCTAAATTCTTGCATATGAGTAGACTTGCAGGTTTCGGTTTGCACATACTGTATACTTAGTGTTTTGTCATTTGGTTAAATCATTTTACTACATGATTATTATTATTTACTTTTTTGTGCAGGATGGCAGCTTGGAACAGCCAGTGTGGAGTGAAGAGTCACTGTTTTTTTGTAGTGTGTACAGTAGTACTAATACCTCTGAAAGTCAATTTTATGTAGCTTTAATTTAAGTACATGTATGAGGCCTTCTTTACTGCTTGATTAACATGGTAGTGTTGTAGTAGTGAAGCTTATAAGCATACACATTTTGTTTTTTTTTCTTAAATTAACTTAATTTAATGGCAATGTTTTTAAAGTAAGAATGAACTAAAAGCAGTCACTGTCAAAAAACAATATTGTGGTATATCTTCACATACAAAAGAATAGAAACATGGACATAGAATTGAAACATATGCCAAACTAATTGCAAACAAACTTAAAGTGCCAAAGGACAACTCGCATAAAAACAAGGTTACTGATCATGTGTGTAAAGCACTGCATGTGGACACACATGTCTATTTTCTGCCACAGTTTTCACTTCGCTCCTCAGGTCATCAAACATCTCCCAGACTCTTGGGGAACTTTTGCAGTAGCATACGTAGTGACCCATGGCATTCGTTGACTCTCCACCTCTGAATGCTATGACTGCCCTTAGTGTGAAGGTCTTATCCTGAAGGACCATGCTGGATGGAAATTCAGACAAGGAAGAATCTCTCTTTCGTTGGTGAGTTTGTGAAGTACGCATACGGTCTTTATGCGGCAACTCTTGTGAATTCCTCTCTTGTTTTGCTTTTCGTAGGGTCGCCAATTTGGGCAAATGGCTGGGCTCAGGGTCTCCAAAATCCATTAGCTTTGTTGCTTGCTGTGCCCTCCACACATGAGGTTCGGACTTTCCTTCACAAAGTGCGCTAGCAACATCCTTGCGCGCTGCTCCAGACAGAGGATGCTTTGCACACCCTGTGTGGAGCGAGGAAAGGATGTTTTTAAGGAGACACTGGAAGACCATTGGGCTTTGAACTGGTGGCTCTTTCAGACATTGGGCCTGGAGCTTACCTCCACATTCCTTGCAGTAGCCTTGAATGTCTATGTATTTACTTTTTGACATGGGATAAACCTTTGCCCTTTTAAATATAAAGGTACAGGTATGTTTCACCTCTTTCCATAATATTTCATTCATGACATGAGTCCAAGTGCCTGGTTTTAATATGTTGTATTTTCTGTTGGCATAGTTGACGCTCTCCGGCATGAACTCTACCCATTTCTCAAATGGCACCAACAGCTGAAAAGTCTGCTCTGATTGAAGTATGCCATCACTGTCACTATGCTGATCGGCTGGTGGCTCATCTTCACTATTTTCAGATGCACTGGTGTCACTCAGACCCAAAATGGTCCAGATGTTGTGCCTGTTTTGTTTTACAAAGGTATACAGTGCCTTGGCAAACATTCTCTCATCAAGTTGATGGCTGAGTTCTGTCCAGATTTGTTCAGCAGGTTTAGCAATTTCCATTTATTAATATAGCCTCTTTTGCTGTTGAGAGGATGGCAATAACAGCATGTGTGGCCACTCCTGGATTTTTTGGCATCTAGTAAAAAAAAAAAGATTAAATCACCTTATGTAAACTGGAGTAATGTTGTTTTTTTTAAGCCATTTTATTGAAAGGTTCATCTTAATGTTTCACACGATATACAGCTGAACTCTTCCAAAACTTGTTTCAATTTTTTTTATATTGCTCTGTGTGCATCTGACCTGCTCTAAAACTTTAAATATTCTCTTATGAATTGTCTTATGTATAAAGTGTTTACTTTTTCAGTTTATTTCTGTGGATTTTGTCATTACTATAATTGAAGCAATGTATACAGTTATATGAAATGCATTCATTTTATTTTTGGACTTTAAAGTGTTTTAATGAATTCTGTACAGTATTTCACATAGAATGCCTAGCAAAAAAAAAAAAGCTAGCAAAATTGTTTAAACATAAAATGTAATTACTTACGTTGATGATCTTCAGAATATGCAAAGGTCCATACTGTAAGGGTACAATTAAAAAAACTACCTAAATACGTATTTGAAGTTAAAATGCAGCTGCTTAATTAGTTCATTGAGGGAAAATGTTCAAATTTTAGCGGGTAAACTTAATGGTTAACGCCTCCCAGTGGTATAGAAAAAATAAAGCATGTGTTGTAGTGTTAATTAAATAATGACAAATGCTATATCAGTTCTTTATTAACAACGTGAACACATTGCATTACATAGCAATATAGGCTGGGCAGCACAAGCCAACATAAACGAAGCCAAAAGGATAGACACCATTCGAAATGGTTCGAAAGAGTATGATGACGTCATCGTCTAAAAATGCAATTATTAATATCTTAAAAACGATAACAGCACAAACGTAAATTTTTACAGCACAAACCAGCACAAACGTAGCACAAACGAATGACACTATTTTCGTCCATTTTGGAGCATTTTTTAGCAAAATGAGGGGCTGGGTGACCTCAGATTGACCTATAAAAGAATCCTCAATATCTCAAAAACGATAACAGCACAAACAAAAGATTTTACAGCACAGAACAGCACAAACGTAGCACAAACGATTGACATATTTTTTACGGAGCCGTCACTGGCGCTCCGTCACACTACATCACACGTTTTTAATTCAAAAACAACAGTTGTCGCATCAGCAGTCGCACCAAGGAAGCGAGATGTAACTCTTCCATGATCCAATGAGAAATCAGGAAACACATTGCGCCAAAGAAACTCTTCGACACCGACACCGTTGATATGCGCAGTGAAGCAGCGGCTGCAGAGTCCAAGACACTGAGGCCCCGTCCCAATACTCGCACTTCCACCCTCGCGTCCCTCATTTGCGCGTTCCCGATAAAGTGTGCGAGGGCGTAGGGTGTCCCAATTCTCCAGGGAGGTCTCTGGCCCCGCCCCCTTTGCGCCCCTGATCCTCACTTCGCCGTAGCCTGCATCTATGCGCACTCTGGCGAAGGATATTGCCCATAATTCTTTGCGGTACACACCAAAACGTCGGGAAAATGCAAATTTTGAAATATATATGCAGTATGTGTGTAAATAAGTTTTGCTATGTTACTTGGAAAGAAGCATAAACGTCTGATGAAGAATTACGGACATTGTGTTTTAACAATTTAATACATTTTAAAGCAAGCGTTTATATAACATTCAATTTAAACTTTACACTTAGTACAATAATCTTAGAATGTATAAAAACTGACCAGATAGTTAGTTACCCACATTTAACTTAAAATTATACAGCTATCTCTAATTAAAAACAACTAATATACATGTATTTTAACGTGTGTGAAGCAATTCGATTTGGTTCCCAAAGGGTCAGACAAAATTACCTTTAATGTTTATAAAGTTTAGGTCTGAAAATGACCATCTCTTGACGAGTCGATGACGTAACCTGCACTCAGTGTGCACTGTCCCAATTCCGCCTTTTTTGCACACTTGTAACCTGCGCACTCCAACCCTGGTGTGCACTTCGAACAAATGCACACTTCGTAGAAGTGTGTAGGGTGCAGTGTGGGTATTGGGACGGGGCCTGACACTGACCAGAATATACCCTGGCCTAGGCTATTTTAACCTCGGTGTATAAACTGGCCAGGGGGTCTAAAATGGCCAGTTACACCAGGGTCTAAAACTATATTTATCACATGTTTGTGTTTGTGCAAGATATATTAACATCGGAGCGAACAGATCTATTCACATGCAGAGATAGAATCGAACCTCTAAACTTTCACATGCTATTATACTTTTGCACTTCACTCCTGGATAAATATGATATCCTGCTCCATTTTCTCATTCTTTAACATTAACAGTAGAGAAAGTAAAAGTTGGGGCTTGTAGAACAGAGATAAAAAACAGGAAAACCAAGCATCAAGCGTTTGTCGAATGCTTTATAGATTATTATGAAGTTATTTTGACCTTTGATCTTTATGATAATCTATTAACTATATCAGTCAAACTGCTTGGATTGAAACAAAACAGGATGCAAAGCTATGAGGTTTTGTATTGTAGACAGGGTTTAATAATGTTTACTTTGAATTTTTGCTTATTGTATTCAGGTTTCAGTGTTTATGGTGAAAATAAAAGGTGTGGTTATTTTCCTGACGAAAATAGCTTTAAGTAAATGTACAACATGCCATATTTGTCATATTTGCCACTATGGGGCCATAAAATACCTTTTTGCATGTTTCATACCATTACTCTACAAACTTTGGACATACAGACTGAGCTTTTTTGAGCTAAAGCTTTGTATAATCAGACAAGATCGTTTTGCTTTCACTTGATGGTTTTATATAGCGCTTTTCAGGACAATCAAAGTCTGGTGTGTGGGTGTGAATGACTGATGGTGGTTGGAGGGGGGAAATGGCATATACTGGTGTGGGGAGGGGAGCAGAAAGAGCGAGGGCAGCGCTTACATTTGAAACTGCTGCTTCAAAGTCATAAAGTGAGTTAGTCCAGCTTTAACCCTCTCAATGTATTGAGTTCCATTGTAACTACATGCAGTATTTATTTGTGTGTTTCCTGCAAACAAAAGTGAGTTTGCGGCAGAACAAAAGTGCCATGTGTGCAGAGACTTTCCTAAGAAGCCTTCTGAATAATGAACGCTGTTTACACAGACTGAAAGTAGTGGGAGCTGCACAAAATATGGTTTTTAAACATAATCAACTATTTATACTGTCATTTAACAGTAATTGTTGCCCTTTTTGTAGGCTGTGCAAAGGGGCCATATTACGTAAGATCAACTTTTAATATAAATTTGTGTAAGTTGGCCAAAGTAGTTGCCATAGCTACGTTTTCGTATGCTCAATGGCCATTAAATAATAAAAGCCTTTATTTGGGACAAGTCCCACTCCACAATATCCTTCTTTTCCACTCTGCACGGCAAATGTACATGGAAATAATACAAAAGCTCAAATCACTTGGTAAATAGTGACTAAGTATTATTGTGTCCATTTTATTCTTTTTTCTTTCCATAATTGCAGGAGAAGATGGGCCTCCCCTGACTGCACGTCACTGGGTTTACTTCAGAAACAATAAGTGTTTTCCAGGCCCTTGATGCATGTGGGTCCAGCTAAAAAAAAGACCCGAGCAAAAAGTCGACAATCCACTTTTGCAAATGATTCAGATTCAGTTTTATTTGCCATTTGCAGTAAAAAAAAAAACACATTGGAATACATTAGCAAAAAGTCTCCAGTGTGCACAGACAAATACAGACATAAAACAAATAAAACAGTAAACCAATGTCACTGTGAAATTGATCGACTAAAACAGTTTCAAAACAAGTGCAAATCATTAAAGTGCTCTGTTCACACTGATAACAGCTTGTGGATAAAAACTGTTGGCGTAACGAGATGTCCTGCATCTCAGAGAGCGATATCTTCTGCCAGAGGGAAGAAGCTGGAACATGGCTTTCCCAGGGTGGCCAGAAGAGTCATTGACAATCCTAAGAGCTTTGTTTAGAAGTCTGGATTTATAAAGAACCTCCAGAACAGGAAGCTCACGGTCCTCTTTGCAGAGCGGAGCACCTTGTTTAAAGCTCTCTTTTCTTTATCTGTGATGTTACCAAACCATACAGACACAGAACCAACAAGTAAACTCTCAATGGTGCAGCAATAAAAGTTAAGCAGAATCTTAGAGTTAGTGGTAAATTCTCTAAGTTTACGCAGAAAGTAGAGACGCCGACGAGCTTTCTTAACGACTCGGTCAGTGTTTTTAACCCATTTCAGGTCGTTAGACAGACCCAAAAACTTGCACTCCTCTACGATCTGCACCTGGGAGTTGTCGATTACGACAGGCAAATGAGAACTATTGCGACTGAAGTCTTAGACCAGTTCACATGTTTTCGATGCGTTCAACTGGAGGTTGTTAGTTTTACTCCACTGGACCTTCTTGCTGAGAGGCGAGAGTGCTATCCACTCAGCCACCATGCCGCTGAGTGGATAGCACTCTCTTTTAGCTAAAAAGCTAAAAATCCATTTACACATGGCAACACTTAAACCGAGAGACATGAGCTTTTCAATCAGTTTACCTGGGACAAGGGTTTTGACTAAAATGTTCTTTAATGACCTTCTGTGGGACACAGCAGTCAATACAGAAGCGTATGTATCCAGACACACGGGGAGAACATGCAAACTCCACTCAGAAAAGCCCTGGTCCGGCCGGGATTCGAACCCAGGACCTTCTTGCTGAGAGGCGAGAGTGCTATCCACTCAGCCACCGTGCCGCTGAGTGGATAGCACTCTCTTTTAGCTAAAAAGCTAAAAATCCATTTACACATGGCAACACTTAAACCGAGAGACATGAGCTTTTCAATCAGTTTACCTGGGACAAGGGTTTTGACTAAAATGTTCTTTAATGACCTTCTGTGGGACACAGCAGTCAATACAGAAGCGTATGTATCCAGACACAGCGTCACAGAATTCATTGACGTCCTCTGACTGAAACACAGACCAGTCCGTAGCATCAAAACAACCTTGTAGCTTCATGCTAGCCTCCTCAGACCAACACTGCACAGTGCGAGAGGTTGCTTTATGTTCCCTGCTCCTCTGAGTATACCAGGGAAGAAGGAGAACAGAGGAGTGGTCAGACTTTCCAAAAAGAGGTCTGAGACTGGACCTGTAAGCTCCCTTCACGTTACTGTAACAGTGATCCAGAACATGTGCTCCTCTTGTAGCTCGAGTCACATGTTGGTAAAAGTTCGGGAGTACAGTCTTTAAATTACATTTATTGAAATCCCCAGCAACAATGATGACTGCGTTAGGATGAGCAGACTCATGTTTGTGAAGGATCTCGCTCAGATCCTGTAGAGCTACTTTGTAATCCGCACGTGGGTGAATGTAAACAGCACATAAAAATATCACTGAAAACTCACGGGGAAGATAAAAAGGGCGGCAGCTCAAGACCAGGCATTCCAGATTGGCAGTACATGTTCTGTTCACGATTCGAGTGTCCGTGCACCAGCACTGATTAATTAAAAAGCACACACGCGCGGTGAATCCCGGGGGCTGAACAGCAGAGTCCGGGACCTTCAAGTGGAGCCACGTCTCGCTGAGGCAGAACACAGCGCAGTCCCTGGCCTCGCGCTGGCTCTGGACCTGACACAAGAGCTCGTCCGTCTTGTTGGGCAGAGACTGGACTTTGGCCAGGTAGATGGAGGGCAGAGCGGTCCTGGAGGAGCGGCTTCGAACGAGCAGACCGCCTCACCTTCCACGGTGTCTGCGCCTCCTTCGCCGACTAGGTGCCCAGCTCCACACCGCGGAGAGAACGCCGGAGACGCCCGGTCCCCTTGCTCTGTTAGCGGCCACCGCCGCGGCCCGCCTGCCGTGCTCCACGGGCCTCTCGAGTGGGACACTCGAGGAAGTTTGTGCACCTCAGTTCGGGTAGTACGAGTGACCCGTCACACGCAAGGTCCCGAATGTTAAGAAGCGCCTCTCGGTCATACTTCACAGTGGCAAGTGACTCAAAGACAAACAGCAACAAAACACAGATTTTGCACACTAGAGCTCTCACTGCGGCGCCATGACACGGCGCCATCTTGCTCTTTCAGCAAAAATGAGCTATTTCTGTTGCTTCACATTCATGCTTCTGTCCTTCTCCTCTTCAGTACACGTCGGCTCTGACCTACGATGCGGTGCAGGTGATGACCGAGGCCTTCCGCTACCTCCATAAGCAGAGGATTGACTTCACCCGCAGAGCCAACACCGGGGACTGCCTGGCCAACCCGGCTGTCCCCTGGGCACAGGGCGTGGAGATTGAGAGGGCCCTTAAACAGGTGAGTGCACACTACTAGTAAAACTCAACAGGGTTAAAAATGCCACTCTGTTTTCTTCTATGTATGTGACAGAGATACAGTGTGTATGGTGTTTTACTGTATGCTTTTAAGATAAGCTAAGATGAGAGTTCCTTTATTCGTCCCACGGTGGGGAAATTTCGTTCGTATGTGCAGCGCACATACAGGACAGTAGTAAGAGCACACAGGGAGCACACAATATATACAGAATACGTAGTAGCTATGTTTCTTAACTAGCATAACTGGCTGTAGATGCTGGAAATGCTTAAATACTAGTCAAAAAATATATACAGAGTAGTGTAGAGTTATGTACTGTACATATAGTGCAGGATAATAAGTAGATAAATAAAGTGACATTGTTCTGTGACATTCTGAAGTTGCAGTATTGCACATTGCACATGATTTAAGAATTTTACAGATGAATGAAATTTACAAGCTCAGCAGTTCTTATTGTACAGTCTGACAGCAGCAGGAAGGAAAGACCTACGGAACCTCTCCTTCACACAGCGAGGGTGAATTAGTCTGTCACTGAAGCTGCTCTCCAGAGCAGAGTGTCCTGCAGGGGGTGACATTCATGGTCCAGCATAGATGTTAGTCTGTCCAGGACCCTCCCGTCCCCCACCTGCTGCACTGTGTCCAGGGAACAGCCCAGGAATGAGCTGGACTTCCTGATGACCTTGTCCAGCTTCTTCCTGTCCCTCTCTGTGATGCTGCTGTTCCAGCAGACCACTCCGTACAAGATGGCTGATGCCACCACAGAGTCATAGAAGGTCTTCAGGAGTGGCCCTTGCACTCCAAAAGACCGGAGCCTCCTCAGCAGGTAGAGCCGGCTCTGGCCCTTCTTGAAGAGGGCGTCTGTATTGTGAGTTCTGTCCAGTTTGTGGTTCAGATGAACACCCAGGTATTTGTAAGAGTCCACTCTCTCAATGTACTTTCCCTGGATGTTCACTGGGGCAGGCGCGGCAGAGTGACGTCCACCTCCTTGGTCTTCCCCGCATTGATGAGGAGGTGGTTCCGCTGACACCAGACCACAAAGTCCTGTATGACTCCTCTGTACTCTCTATCATCGTCCTCGGAGCTGAGTCCGATGACGGCAGAGTCGTCGGAGAACTTCTGGAGGACACAACCGTGCGTGTTGTGTCTGAAGTCCGCAGTGTAGAGGGTGAAGAGGAACGGCGCGAGGACAGTCCCCTGGGAGGCCCCCACACTGCAGGTCAGGACCTCAGACACAAAGTCCCTGGTTCTCACAAACTGGGGTCTGTCTGTGAGGTAGTCCAGGATCCACTCGGACAGGTCGTAGTCCACTCCAGCTGTCTCCAGCTTGTCCCTGAGAAGCCTCGGCTGGATGGTGTTGAAGGCACTGGAGAAATCGAAGAACAGAATCCTCACAGTGTAGCCGGGTTTCTCCAGGTGGGACAGCGAGTGATGGAGGAGGGTGATGATGGCGTTTAAACAATGTCTCCCTGAAACACCAACATGACAGTAAGGCCTCGACTCCACAGGGCGTGTAAAACGGACTACGTATCCGTCCAAACGTGTCCGTGTCATCTCTGTTTCCGTTATCTCCATGAGGGTGAGTGGAAGTGGCTCCACTGCCTGCAACATGCGTCCGTCCGACGTGCGTCAGGAGCTGTCCGTCAACGGAGGGTGCAACAAACGCGGACGGACGAAATAGAAACAATCCTATTTTTTACGTCCGTCGACGCGTGTCGGGTCCGTTTTCCATTGAAAATACAGTGGAATAATATGTTTACCACATTATTAAACATGTGTTGATATATGCTGTTGTCCTTGGTTATAAATGTTTGTTAATGACAATGATTATTAACAAATGTGTGTAATTTTTTTTCATGTATTAAATTGAAATAATTGTTTACTGATCGTAAATCTACCATTTATTTTTTGCGTAATGTTAATACGCTAAACTTTACATACACCTCGCTCTTTCTGCTCTCGCTCTGTCCCTGTCTACCTCCAAGGCGCTCTCTCCTCACCGCCGCGCGCTCCCACCCACCCACCCACACACACATTTACCCACAGAGCTAGTGCACTTATGAGAGACAGATCTCACAACAACACTGGATATGTTTGAGTTCTTTTCTCTTTTCTCTTTCCCCTTTTTCCACTTGCTTTCAATAAGTTTTGCCTCATCCATCGCAACGTCCTCGATGCTTCATTTGCCGTGCTTTGCTTAGATCATAGCCACAGCTCATGCAAATCACACACCGCTTCTTCTGTTTAAAACAAAGCCTCACGGGTGCTGATAAACGCACAGCCAGAGCTGCGCGCTGCTGCAGCCGGTTTGGCCACTATTCCGTTTTACGGACGTCTGACGGGCAGCAGCCAACGCGCCCGGTGGAGTCCTGGCCTAAGGCCATTAGCCTCCAGAGGGAATTTAGTTCCCAGAGGGAACTAAATCCATACAGTAACTGCACCACTGTTTGGAGCTGCAAAAAAGTTTGAAAACTTTTAATTTTAAGAGAAGACATGGTCGAGGCTAATAAGCTAGGTGCTAACTGCTATCCACAGCGCTGGTTTCAGACAAAAAAGCACAAAAGGAAAACGTAAAATATGTATCGTAGGAGATTTTACTTCCTTGCTGCTCCCAAAACCAGCAAGTTAAATATTATCTGTGCATTAGTATTTCTAATGTTACTAGTATTCTAGTTTATGGAATATTAATTATTAAAGTAAATAATTCTTAAAATCATTTCGCTTGAGATAAGAGCTTTGCATTAAGCCTTTGTGCTGTATATTATAATGAGACTTATAGCTGATTATGTCCCAGAGCTGAAGCTGATTATGTCCCAGAGCAAAATTGTCAACTAGATTTGCTCTCAGTATTTGCCCAGTTGAAATATAATTTAAACATTGGTATCAAATACTGTATCTAATACACAACAATGACCCGCAGTTGTGAAAGACCGGAGGAGGGCAGACTGTGTGCATGGGTGTTCAAAATATGTGACCTTTTATAAGGCCAGCTCCAAGTTTTGTCAAAGGAAATATAAATGAGAAGTATTGTGCAAAATTGTCTTATGCTGTTTTACAAGTTGTACGCTCGGACGAATGGGACAATATGGCATTAGCTCCACAGCACTACTCAAGGTATCACTTTAATGATACCAGCCCTGCTTTTGAAGTGACTACTCTTTCCTATTCAGAATCACTTATTGCTATACACCAAAGAGCAGTTGCCGTAGTAACGGTAGATCTCTTCTGTCTTATTCTGGGTGTAGGATTTGCAGATGGGCTTTACTCTGCTGAGTCTCATAGAGCACCACTAAAGCTGAGAAGGGCATAGTGATGAAAGAAGTCTCCTCAGACAGCCCAGGTCACCCACAAAAAGGTTTTATTTTAAGTATAGTATAATTCTAACGGATAAATTACAAAGTGAACTAAATTAGAACCACAGTGTTTGAGAGTCCAGCCATGCAGGAAAAACAAATAGTGGTTGGTTGAGTGACACTATTCATAGACAAATACATTTTTCTATTTTAAAATAATAACATAATTGAGGAGATGTCAAGCATGCAGTTCATGCAAGTTGTAGGTGTAGGTGATTTTACAGAAACTACTTTTGCCAAGAAGAATGGGCAGCTTTACCATCAGAGACGTTAAAGAACCTCATCCACAACTACCACAAAAGACTTCAAACTTTCACGTACATGTACATGTTAAAGAGCTAATACACTATATTGAGAACTGGGAGATGGATAATTCTGATCTGATTCTGAGAAGAGAAGTTTTTCATCTTAAAATCATTTGAACTTAGAAAACTCCTCTTATGCAATTTTACCCCGTTTGTTATTTGTAGATCTCCTTATGCCTGATGTTATTATTCATATGAGTGATGACTCATTGTAGGAGCTCATGTGTATCCATGAATATTGTCTGAGACAGGTAGTTTTATTTTTTTATTTGTTTAATCTCAAATCAAGATTGTCCTCTGGGATAAGCAACATGTTCTGATTTCAAAGGTAGCCTGTCAAATGTTTGCTTTTCATATTGGCCATTAAATAGAGAGAAAAATTTATTAATTTTACAAAGGGTAATTATGAATTATTTAAACGTGTTATGTAATATGTGCTATGTTCACCCTATATGGATACAATTGTATGATGGTCTAATGATTTTGCAATGTGATAAAATACTTCTCTTTGGGGGTAGACGTGGGGAATTACTATGAGGAAAATTGAGGGCGTGTTTGTGCTGAAAAACAGGTGTGATTTCATGAGAATTAATGTTGTAACACTGTTGAAAACCTTTTGAATAATCCATCCATTTTCTTACCCTTAATCCATTTCTGGGTTGGGGGGTGGCAGTCAGAGATGCCACCCAGTACATATAACACCAGCCCCTCACTGATCCTCCTGCAGGTGGTGGGTCCACAGGATCTTTCAGCGGGGGCTTCAGGCAAAGTGGGGTTAAGTGTCTTGCCCAAGGACACAACGACAGCAGTCATCAGCAGGAGTCATGAAGTTGGTCTCGTGGAGGGTTTGAACCTACGACCTTCAGGCCAAAGGCCGATGCTCTACCAACTGAGCAACTGCCCCTCCTTTTGAATAATGCTATGTTTTCCCCTGAGTATTTCTCCTGACAGCGTCCCCTTCTGTCCTGCAGGTGCGCGTGGAGGGCCTAACGGGTAACATCCAGTTTGACCAACACGGAAAGAGGGTCAACTACTCAGTTAACATCATGGAGTTGAAGACCAACGGGCCGGTCAAGGTAGGACCACAAACATGTAATCAAACTAGAGATTACTTACATTACTTACTCAGTATAGTTGGTGTATGTATTTAGTAGGACTGGGACTCGATTAAAAAAAAATAATCTAATTAATTAGAGGCTTTGAAATGTATTAATCGCATTTTAATCACATATAAATATTTGACCTGAGAACAGTGAGAAGTATTTTGTTCCCATCCACGGGGCCAACCAACGCGGTCACATTAGCTTCTTTGTTCAAGTTCACTGAGCCACTGTGGTTTGTTGTTGTCTGAACCGAATTCATGCCCGTTAGTTGGTGCTCCAGTACAATCGGTCCGTCCATACATAGCCGGGTATCTGCTAAACCGCAGATATTTGTCTTTGTTTGCATCCACATGACAACGTATCTGTTGGTATAGATTTTCCCCATTATCTGGTATCCATGTCCCCCTTCCATGGGGGCAGGCTTTCTCCTGGCTGACTCCCCTGACCAATCCAGTGGAACCTGGGAGTAACCTCACAGCCAGTATATAGATAGCTGGAATAGACTAGTTTGGGTTCTTGGTCGGTGTCAACTCTCTAAGCAACATGTAGCAGGCTAAGTCTAAGGCCCAGAGGCTCCAGGGTTCTCTCTCTCTCTCCAACCATCTCTCCGTGGGGTATGATATTTTCTGTTATGTCTGTATGTATTTTGTTATAATTCAGTGTCATTATATATCCTCTTTTATATCTATTGGTTTGGGCCTAGTACGTACAGCAACGATTACATTTTCATGATAACGGTATCTTAAATAGATATATAAAAAATCTTTGGGCAAAGTAAAGAACTGTTTGCTGCTGCGAGCGGTTTGCTGCTGCGAGCGGTTTGCTGCTGCGAGCGGTTTGCTGCTGCGAGCGGTTGGCTGCTGCGAGCGGTTGGCTGCTGCGAGCGGTTGGCTGCTGCGAACCGCTAGCAGCAGCGAACATCCTCACTCCACATCGGAGAGCAGCAAAGTGATCACAGGGACTCACGCTCGAAAACAACTAAAACAGGATCTAAACCAGGATTAAAGGGACCATATTACAATTTTTGAATGTTCTCTGCTTTAAACATGATTACAGTGCTATTTGGCCTTCATACACATGCCCAGAGTAGTTTATTCATTGATTCTGTCAATCTTTAGTAAGTGAGCGATCTTTCTCATTCACCATCGAGAGGCAGTGAAACGCTCAGTCCACTTCAGTGACGATTTCCACTCTGATGACAAATATGACGCGCATACACCCGTTTGCTTTGTATTTAAAATGGTTTTTAAATACTTTCGTCAGAACGGGGTAAACTATACACAATAAGTATGCTGTTTGTTGTCAAAAATGATAAAAATAGAAATAATAGTAAAAGCCGGGGGGAGATGATTGACAGAGCTAAACAGCGAATCAGAGCGCGCAGCCAGCTCCCGAGTCTGGCTCCCAGGTCCAGCGTCTGTGGTTTGGTCCCGCGGACACCACATGGAGCTGCTGTTTGTCTGTTTTTGTCAGCAACTATACAGTTGTATAGTTTTCGGCCCCCTTGAACCTTTCAACATTTCGCCACATTTCAGGCTTCAAACATAAAGATATAAAAATATTTTTTTTTCGGCAAGAATCAACAACAAGTGGGACACAATCGTGAAGTGGAACGGAATTTATTGGATAGTTTAAACTTTTTTAACAAATAAAAACTGAAAAGTGGGGCGTGCAATATTATTCAGCCCCCTTGCGCTAATACTTTGTAGCGCCACCTTTTGCTGCAATTACAGCTGCAAGTCGCTTGGGGTATGTCTCTTGTCAGTTTTGCACATCGAGACATTTGCAAAATAGCTCGAGCTCAGTGAGGTTGGATGGAGAGCGTTTGTGAACTAACCTTGCCTGCAAGCTGAATTCTCGCGGTATTTGTGAGTTCACAAACACTCGAGAATACATCTTGCCCCGCTCCCGCCAACCCGATTTAAGGATTTAGTTTAAATCCCTCGCATTGGACTGCAGGCTCTCAGTTTAAATCCCTCGCATTGGACTGCAGGCTCTCAGTTTAAATCCCTCGCATTGGACTGCAGGCTCTCAGTTTAAATCCCTCGCATTGGACTGCAGGCTCTCAGTTTAAATCCCTCGCATTGGACTGCAGGCTCTCAGTTTAAATCCCTCGCATTGGACTGCAGGCTCTCTTTAAATCCCTCACTTGGACTACAAGCTCTGTTTAAATCCCTCACTCTGGACTGCGGCTCTCAGTTTAAATCCCTCGCATTGGACTGCGGCTCTCAGTTTAAATCCCTCTCATTGGACTGCAAACTCTCAGTTTAAATCCCTCAGTTGGACTGCAGGTTCTCAGTCTACATCCCTCACATTGGTCTGCAAGCTCTCAGTTTAAATCCTTCACACTGGACTGCAAGCTCTCAGTTTAAATCCCTCACTTTGGACTGCAAGCTCTCAGTTTAATCCCTCACTTTGGACTGCAGCCTCTGTATTAATCCCTCGTATTGGACTGCAGGCTCTCAGTTTAAATCCCTCACTTTGGACTACAAGCTGTTTAAATCACTCACTTTGAACTGCAGGCTCTGTTTTAATCCCTCGCATTGGACTGCAGGCTCTCAGTTTGGTCCCTCACATCGTTCTGCTGGCTGTTCGTTTTAATCCCGTTCGTTGGACTGCTGGCTGTTCGTTTTAATCCCGTTCGTTGGACTGCTGGCTGGCTGTTGACCCAGCGCACCGGGCTGCAGGCTGGCTGTTTTGACCCCGTGCTCTGGACTGCAGGCGGGCTGCTGATGCCCCGAGCGCTGGTTGCATCGTTTCTTGGCTGATCTCGGAGAACGTGATAAAGCACGGAGTGGTGCAATGTTTCCCCTTCATACTGGCGCAGACCGTCTCGCACATTGTCACCGGTCTGCGTTTCGGGGTCCACGGGAAGATCTTGTGCTCCTGGTCACATAAAGGACTGCGCTGACTCTGGTTCGTCTTGCTCGGAGAACGTGGTCTCAACTTTCGTTCCGACTGTGGGGGGGGTCTCTGTAGACCGGGCTCGCAATGTGGCCTCTCCCGCAAAGCGGTACCGCGGACCTCTTCGGCGTGGCAATGATACAATTTCACGTTTGATGGGTCCTTCAAGAAACATGCAAGGGCGCGAATGAGGAAACGATCCTCGAGCTGCTGGTCATTGACGCTGCAGTTCCCCAAAAAATAAAAAATAAACAAAAAATAAACAAAAACAAAAGAGACGCTGGGCGGAATCTGGTCTGTCCATGCCGCGGGTCGACTGGCTGCATTTCATACGCTGCAACAGTTTTTGTCTTGTAGGTGCCGTCGGTCCATGTGAGGCGGGCCTTCCGTCGAAGCTGGTGTCTCCTGATGTCCTAGCCGTGCTGTCCTTGAAGCCTGGTTCCTTTGTCGCTCCGTGCTGTGGGGCCCGTCCCGGCTCCCGTGAGGCCGCCGTTCCGAGGGGCTTTCATCCGCGCCTTGCTCAGCGCCCGCCTCTCGGCCCCGGTCTTCTTCCCCAGGCTCGCCCACGCGCTCCTACTCCATCCCAATTGGGCGTTCATCTTCCTCCTGACGTCGGCGTCCCTCGCATCCCTCGACCTGCTGTCGGCTTTCCACAATCCCCGAGGGGCCACACGGTTTCTGGCGCGGGCGGTGTCCGGGCCCCGTCAATGTCGAAGCGCCAGCTGCTCTCCCTGTTCGGGCACCTCAATCGTGCCGTCCGGTTCGTTCCCCAGGGCCGTTCTTTTATTTCCAGGCTCCTCTCCCTCGCTGGTTTTGGCCCCTCCCACCTCGACGCTGTCTTCCCCGGACGCCGGGTGCCGCCCTGGCCATGTTCTAGTCCCGCCTGCTGGGCCGCCGGGTCGGCGTCTCTTTCTGCGGTGACGTCGTCCGTTCCTCCGTTGCCCTGCGCTTCTTCGCGGACGCTGCCTCGTCCTTGGGTTTTGGGGGGTCTACCAGGACAAGTGACTCACCGGGCCGTGGCCCAAATAATTTCCCTTGGAACCTCTCCTCTGCCCTCCACAAAGGTCCAGTAGTCGTTGCAGAGGAAAAGGATCTCTGTGATGTCAACAAGCTGGACGTCGTAGAAATCCTATATTAAGGTCCTTCTTCCTCTACCCAAGATTCCTTCTCAGACAATTCACACGGCTCTCAGTCTTAAATATCTCCATCACTGCACGACACGTCCCTGGTCACCTTGACTGCATACTGACTGTCTCTCTCACTTTAAATTCCAGAAATTCCAGCGCCTAGGCTACATGATGCCATGCGAGACCCCCGCCATGGAGTTCCCCGCCTTGGACTAGTCCCACCTTCTCTTTGTCTTTTCTTCGTACACGAAAATGTTTCTTTCGCATTCTACGCTCATAACATTCAGCTTCGCCGGAAAGTCTACTCACACAACATTCCTTTACCTTGCCTGCCGTTCACACAATCAGTGCTTTCATAGTTCACCGTGCAGACAATATCCTTCAATACCTCGTATACCTACCCTGCTTGCTGGGACCCAATCTCAGACCCGCTGCTACAACCCTGTTCTCTCCTCTCTATTCTCAGAGCCGTCACTCAAACTCCTCGTCAAAGGCACCCACAACTGCTACTACGTAATCTGTCTCCCAATCTCTACACATCTCACTCCCTCAGGACAGGCGCTGCTACGTGTACGGCGTCGCTGGGTTTCTCATTCTGCCCTCCACAGCTCTTCGTATACTTCAGGCCAGACACTACGACTGTACAGGCAGCCCAGCGCTCCTTGGCATCCCTGTAAGCCCTTGCAAATCCATCCTCGTAAGCACTCGCAAAACTTCCTGGTGGTGGCAGCAGCTGTGCCTTTATTAATAGTGTTGCCTTTATTAATAGTGTTGCCTTTATTAATAGCGTTGCCTTTATTAATAGCGTTGCCTTTATTAATAGTGTTGCCTTTATTAATAGCGTTGGCTTTATTAATAGCGTTGCCTTTATTTATAGCGTTGCCTTATTTATAGCGTTGCCTTTATTTATAGTGTTGCCTTTATTTATAGCATTGCCTTTAT